ATATACAGGCATTTATTGCTATGTTATTCCTGTATATTGTCTCTTTAGGCTGATATTGTCTCGTTAGGTTATCTGCAAACTTATTCAGATTTCTGATTACATGAGAATTAAATCACAAGAACATGGAAATTCCTAAACGGAAAAACGCAATATGGACTCTTTTTGAATCTTACTAGTTTGTCTCCATGGTGCTTCAAAGTACCGAATCCATAACGGGTGAACATTTGTGAAAACCTGCTGTCGATTTTTGAGTAAAAGGACATTGCTTATGAGGTCTTACGATCCACGACATAACACTTCAAGCGTCTCCTTTGGAGATTTAGCGAACGACTTTGATTAGCTTTCAAACGAGCGGATAAAGAGATCGTTTATAATGCTTTTTATCCGCCGTGCAGATAAAAAGCGATTCTAAGTTCAGTGTAGATATAACACACCTCAAGCTGTTGGTAAGCTGTGCAGAAGCCTAGTAGGGCTCTTTTGAAAGTAAGGGCAAGCCAAGTTAAAATGGCAAGGAAAAACAAATTTTTGAGATGAATCAAACATACGATCGCGAGACCAATAGTAGCGCTACTCAAATCAAAACCATATAGCAAAAAATCTGTGTATTTACCTAATCACTAATTAACAACTGCGTACTACGATATGTATGACAGACGAATTTTTTTACTGAACTGTTGATTGAGAAACGATATTTATCTGCCCAAAGCGCTTGCCGCAGCGTGGTTATAGAGGTCATGAGATGTCAGCAACCTTGACTAGCACCTGATCAGCACCGTATGCAGAACAATGTGTGCATAGCACCCTCGTCCTCCTCCGAGAACACTTGAAACTGAATTTCTTTGAAATTATGAATCCAAAGTTCAGTAGTGATATATGTCGATTGAAGTAAGAACTTGCACTTAGAGGTTCCCAAGCACGCTGTTTTCAAAAATGCTAATGGTTTTGCTTAATACTTTCAAATTTATTCCTTTTTTAAGAGGTAAATCTTTTACGACTTTAATATACATTTAGAAAGCTGTCCAAGGAATTTCATCACATTTATTTTTCAAGGTCGTAAAAAGCTTCATCTCTCAGAAGAAGAATAAATTTAAAAGTATCGAGCAAAACCATAGGCATGTTCGAAAACAGTGTGCTCGAGAACTCTTAGATGCAAATTTTTATCAATTGACATGTATCGCTATTAAACTTCAAATTCGAAATTTCATTGAAATTCAGTCTCATGTCGAATGAAACCGAGGGTGCTGTATTCCACCCACTGGTTTTGCATACGGTTCCGATTAGGTGCTAACTAACGTTGCTTACAACTTATGACCTCTATAACTACGCTGCTGCAAGCGCTTTGGTCGGATAAGTTCCCCCATCCGTGTTGATTACACGCGATTTAGAACAATTCACTACTCCATTGATTGCGCGAACTGGAGGACACCACTTACAAAAAGTTATACTCGAACTGATGTTCTTCTTGCATAAGGATGCTCATGAGGAAAAATTGTAATACCAGTCCGGATTATGTGAGAGCATTGGCTAGTGCTATAACACTTGGAGCTGGCTGAAATTACTGAACTGATCGAAGCAGACGTGAAACGAAGGAAAATCTCGAATCTCTCTTTATCCTTTTTACCAAGTAAAACCGTTCTTATTATGCATCCAGTATCTATTTTTTAGCTTGAAAATGAGACGCTAATAAAGAAGTAAAATTCATACATTTTGAAGATTCGCAGACCAAGATAAGGTAGCGCCGCTTCACTAATCTCCTATTACGCATTGGAGTGGTGAAGTCACTTAAGTCATATCTTTAGTTAGTCATATTTTTTAGTCTTTCATCGAAGCGTGCCTTATCTTGATGTATCAAATGAGAGATTTAAAACTAATTGGCTTATCCATAATACCCGAATTTGCATCTATTTGCTGTCATGTGCTTTACCACGCCATTGACAGTAGTTCTTTAACTTTTCAAATTTTAGATAAAGAAAGGAAGACCAAAAACCCACTCTTCTGCTTGCACATGTCAACAGAGCTTGGAGAGAATGAAAAAGAATCAACTCCTTTAGAACGTAGAATATATAATCAGATGATTGTAGGAGATACTAATTATGCGCGTATTGTAGGAGAGACAACAACATGTTGACTACAATCTGTAATGTCTAGATTAAGAGCATAGCGATAAAAATTCAAAACGCTATAATCTTACACTACAATTGCATGGCTTCCATTAATAAGATCAAGTGTGTGATTCAGGTTGCCACACAATATTAGGTTGATGCATAATTCCTGCAACAAAATAGGTGCAGACCGCAATAACTCGAAAAAATCCTAAATCCCAAGAAGGATTCGATATATCATTAGATAGCGCAAACCTAGCTCTACAAGATATGCTCAAATATCTACACCAGCTTTGATCCACGCGAAGTTTTGAAAAAACCGAAACAAACATGCGTCCGAAAACCTTAAGACAGATCTTAAAAAAATTGTAACTTCGTCCAAAAAGCTCATACAAATTTTCTTTCTTGCTCACGCGTAGACGCTCCACGTACGACATTTATCTATGCGGTTGCTGTATTTTTTTCTCAACTAGACGATGAGAAAACGAAGTTTTCATGTTTTTTTCAGAGCTATGCTGAGACGTTCTAGCAATGACAGTTGTATACTATAGGACCTTAGAAGCGTGAATGTGAATTTTCAGCTCTTTAGAGCAGCTGGTTTACGAGAAATATCGAATTTTTAGCAACTAGGCAAGAAAAATTTGGATAAGGAGAGCTAGATTCGTTATTTCTCGCGAACTAGCAGTTCTAGAAGGCTGAAAATGTAAAGTTTTATTGCTTACGGCATGTACTATACAACTGTTAATACTAGAACATCTCAGCACTAATTTGGCAAAAACATGAAAAACTTCAAAAAACTTCGTTTTTTCATCGCCTAGTTGAGAAAAAAATACAGCAACCGCATAGACAAATGTCTTACGTGGAGCGTAATTCTCAGAAAGAAGTCACAGCTAATAACTTTACGCGAGTTGTCATAAAACTCTGAAATTGCTTGTCAAGCAGAATGGTTTATTAGCCAACGCAACAGCGTCTCACAAGTATTTTCGCTTTTTTGAGCAATTGCGGCAGTTCGCAAAACAAAGCTTCATAGAAGCTCGTGGTAGCATTCAATGCATTCTCTTCTAAACGGTTTTGGTTTTGTCGCAGTGAAGTGATCGAGCCTCTAAATGATCACCAATCCAAAACAAGCGTCTTCTACCATAATCAACTTTCGCTATCTTCTTGAATTTTTACACCAAATTCTTGTAAAAGTAGTAGCGGATATCTGTCAAGCCAAAACTTCGGAAGTAAAAAATTTTGCTGTTTTTCTGCAATCGGCTACTTTTTTTCATTAAGATTGGTTGGAAAAAAAGCAGTAAATGAATGTCCAACAAATAAGGTCCAGGCTTTCAGTAACCATCTGCCAATTACTGACCATGTTGGATGCACTAACTCGATTTTCACTTCTGTAGAAGTATGTTAAGAATCTTATAAAGGATCTCAAGGAAACATTTTACCTGAGGAAACCAACACACTAAAAACCTTCATGCCGATTAGCATTCGAAGCCAATTAACTTCGAACAAGAGCCGATTTGAAGCCAGTTAGCTACAAATTTGTTCCTGTTCAATATGCATACCATTTATTAGGTTGTTCCATAAGTCTTTTCATTTTTTAGCTTTCGTTGTGGTAAGTCGTACACTTTTTATTCTAAACAGGCAGAATATCATTCAATCGAGCAAAGCAAACTCTATCTTTCGGCTTCTGCACCAGGTTCGAACCACCTTAAGTTCAAAACCAAAATCTAAAAAGTTTCGGATGCCCAAAAAATTCAAAATTTTATATATATTCATTCGGAAAGTCCTGCCCAGTCCTGCAGTCTCTAATTCGCTCACGCATATACATACCACATCAGGCACTCATATGTGGTGTTTTCATTGGCTTCGTAATTTTTCATTGGCTAGAAATCAAGGAACTGGAAATTTCCATGATCTTAGCAAAATGGTGCCGTGCTTATCTTGAACTAACAGTTGTATACTACGAGCCCTCACTCAGACAGCGGATAGGACCCCTCCGCCGGAGAAATGGCAGGGTCGCGGCGTTTCCCCAGCGGTGGGTCTCCCATTTGTCCGGCGGAGCCCTCCCATTTCTCCGGCGGAGACCTTCCATTTCTGCTCCGGATACCTCCCATTTTCTGCTCCGGGTACTTCCCATTTTCTGCTCCGGATACCTCCCATTTTCTGCTCCGGATACCTCCCATTTTCTGCTCCGGATACCTCCCATTTTCTGCTCCGGAGCCCCCCGATTTTGTGCGCCGGAGCCCCCCGATTTTGTGCTCCGCAAGTCTGCCGCGGCATACTGTAATTAGCCCTAATCAAAGGCAGCTTCCAGGCAGATCTGGACCTATGGGGCTTTTACATGGAAAGTATTTGGGGCCCTAACTAAGGCACTGCCGAAGCAGCAGTTCAGGTAGTGCTCTAATGGCCGAGATATTCCCCTCGAAACAGACCCCCCGCGACGTATTCGCATGGATTCATGGCAGTTTCGCGCCAGGATCCACGCTTTGCGCCATGAATCCATGCGAAACACGGTCGCGGGGTCCAGTTTCGAGGGGAATATCTCAGCCGTTACAGCACTACATGAGCTGCCGCTTGAGCAATGCCTTAGTTAGGGCCCCAAAAGTACTTTCCACGTAAAAGCCCCATAGGTCCAGGCCTCAACAGTTTCCTTGTAAAAATCCCATGTCCAAATCTGCCTCGCCCACTGAAGTTCATGAAATAAGTGCAGAATTACCTTATGACTGAGCGGGCTCAGAACCTGTCCACATCCTGACGACGAAATAAGTACTCAATAAACACCCGATGAGAACAAAAATCCTCATTATGATTACAGTGTGTTTATCCAGCGAATGCTAATTTGAACAATATGAGTTGAAGCAACATAGGCAACAAAATGTACAAGATAACAGTGAAAACAACTAATCAAGTACCCCTCCCTGTTTTCACTTTTGCAGGTGGTGGCTCAGGTTCGTCCTGCAACGGCATCACGAATGAGAAATTTTAGCCGGTATCCAACATAAACTAACCTCAAACTTAACGTTTGCTACGACGTAAGGACTGTCATCTACATCTTCCATGTCTGGTTCGAGCTCACCTTCCTCAGCATCCAAACTCTGAAAATAAACACTTGAATGAATGAGACTACCACTTGTGCAATGCAACTATGTGCAATGCAGGCTAGCTTTACACGCTCAAAATTCGCTTAATGATTTCCAAAGTACACATGGATATCTTCTCAGTACGCCGCATATTATGTGAGTCACTAATTTCATACAACTGATGTGCTTTGTGGGTTCAATTTCCACCTAATACTGAAATTCTTGTCGTTGTTCAGGTGGTGGTCATACTGAAGAAAAGTCGAGATGCGCGTATCCGCCGCCTATTATGAGCGAAACAAAATAAGAACGTCAAAATGCGGAACCTTCAAAAAGGATAAGTAGACAACATTTTCACTGAACAACTTGCAATTACCTCATGGTCACTGGCAGTTTGACCAAGTTCCGTTTCGAAAGAGTCATCTAGCTTTGCCCGCTTACCAGGAACCTCCCAGAGAGCATTCCTAACAAAAGCCTGCAGGAAATTTTTTTATCTAAAAGTGATAACCATCAACAGAATGATAAACTGCTACCTTTGCAACTCGCCTATTCAGACCCGGAGCACTTTTGCGCAGCTCAATAGACTTGACTCGATCCACGTACTGCTTCGTGCGTTTCTGAATTACGACACATTTGAGATGAATGGAGCATGAAAATACTAAGCTGAAATATCATTTTGGATGGAGACTTCATGCCACCTATGAAGTTTTATACAACAAAGGCTTCGGGCAGAGTTCACGCGATTTCATCGCCTCACGATTCTCCCAACAAGACAACAGCTGCGAGTCCATCGCATGCCGACTTGCATTTCCATTGCGATAGTTTTCCGACACGACCAATCGTGACTAATCATCACAACCGGAATACGATGATCGGCTTGCAACGGACTCTAACTGTTGTCTGTCGGAGAATCGCAAGGCGACGAAATCGCGTGACGTCTGCCTGGCCCTTTACGCTAAATTTCCTGACGCCTATTGCCCGATCATCTTCGCAGAACTCTACTTCTAAAAACAACGCTTTGGCGCTAGCATAGCCGTCCCTCTTGTGGGCGGGGCTCACCATTCCCGCTCATCAACCGAGTTCTCGCCTACCAGGGTCACAGCGACTGCCTCTCTTCAACATTAGATGACACTACGTGGAATAAGGGCGTAGAGCATAGATCTGCTGTCTGTTACTCAACACGGTGCTGAGAAGCTCAGTATGCCAATGAAAGTGTTTCGAAAGTGAGTACAACATTTCAAAAAAAGAGAGTAGAGCTTTTGCCGCATAAGAAAACATGGTGACTCTAACCTTGCACTCACGAGTTCGTCTGCCAACTGAACGCTGTCTTTTGGATCTTTGCCTTGCTGAGCCGTCAAACACCATCCCAGCGAATTGAGCACGAACATTGTCATTACGTCTACTTGAACAAGTTCTAAAGCCGTTCTCTAAACTTTTAGCATAGAAAGTTGAAAACTGGGCTGAACAGCTTACTTTGAGGTGATCATCGAATCCAACTTCGAGAATAGGCGCCAATGCTGTCTCTAGCGAGGTTAGGGCCTCATCGAACTTTTGCAGGCGTTGCAGACACTCCATCGATAGCGTTTTCTTAGAACCGGGTGCTGCTTCTTCTTTTGTGCCTGGCGAAGGCGTATCTTCCGCCATTCTGAAGTAAAAGCATCTTTTGACACCAATGAAAACAAACTACGGAGAAAACCGAAGTGAAATGCCATAACTCAACCACTTTTGTTGGTATTATGCTTTGTAACCTTTGCGCCAATTAATAATCAGCTATCAATAGCTGATTATTAATTGCGGTGCGGTGCGGGTGCGCATACTCGTAATCATGCACAAGATAGACACAATCAATTACGCATATTTCGAGCTGCATAAGACAGATCTGAGGTATAAATCGATCCAAAAAGCCATCAACCCGCTTACACTACCAAAGGTATAGGCGATTTATCAAATGCACAGACTGGGCGTCATTGTGTCCGACCAAGATAATTCGTGCATGGGAGAGACAGCAGACGGCAAGAAGTACGAAAGAGCACTCAATCAGCGAGACGCCGACAGCGTCCGCAGTGACGCCTATTACGTGCGATGAATTCCTCTACAGTATTTACCTTGAGGTGATGCAAATGCTCTAGATTAAGGTAAGAATACAGGGTAAATTTGACCTCGTTCCATGCTGGCTAGCAAACACTGGTTTGAAAGTTGCGCAACTAACCTCATTGTTTCTAAAATCCAGAATTAATCACAAAACCACTCCATCAATAGTCTACGATGTCTCAGCAAGTCGGAAAGAGCCAAACACTGAAGGTGATTGAGTGCAACCGCACGAAAATTTGAAACATAAACCTGAAAACGAGGAACTTACAGCAACATAAACGCCAACGCGACGAAGAGCAACGCGGAAAAGAAAAAAAACGGTAAAGAAACGCGCAAAAACAACAAAATCAAAGAAACGGCGACTAAAATATGGACAAAGAGCGTAGACAGAGGACTCATCACCGTGGTTAGACGTTTGCTTGCTACGCGCCAAATCGATACGCAGCCTGCTCCGGATACCTCCCATTTTCTGCTCCGGATACCTCCCATCTTCTGCTCCGGATACCTCCCATTTTTTGCTCCGGATACCTCCCATTTTCTGCTCCGGAGGCCTCCCATTTCTGCTCCGGACCCCACCCATTTTCTCCGGCGCGGCTCTTCCAAATTTGGCGGACTCGCACCGGGCAAATTTCTCCGGCGCGGAGTCCGCCAAATCTGGCAGAGTCGCGCCGGAGAAATGGCGGACCTTTGCAGCAGGGCCGGAGAAGCCTCCCACTTGCCTGCCAGTGATGTCACCGCGATGGACCGCCCATTTGCCCCTCTCTCATTGGTCAACTGGGCAGTTTCGGACTGTCCGGCGGAGGGGTCCCGTCGATTGTCTGAGCATAAGCACATCTGTAATTTCAGTCTCTATAAGCTCTAGTTTCTAAGAAATATCGAATTTAGCTTTCCTCATTCAGATTTTTTACGCTTAACTCCATTTCTCGGAAACCGGAGCTTATAGAAAGCTAAAAATTTACGATTGAATTTCTAAGGGCTCGTAGTATACAAATGTTTGTATAAGAAGGGCAGCATCACAAAACATGGAAATTTTCGGTTTCGTAATTTCTAGCTAATCAAAAAAGAAGCAACAGCACATATGGATGATGTAGAATTATATATGCGTGAGCGAGTTATAATCGTCCTCACCCCACCAGTCGGTCGGTGGTCGAATTTGAATTCGAGTTGGAGCAAACCGGCCGCGGCAGAGAGCGGCAGACCGCTCCTCAGCCAAGCGCTTGCGTATAAGCTTTTCTCTTATTTTCTTCGTGTTTCTTTGCTATCTTTCGTAATGCGGCAATGTTCTTAATCAGACTTCCAGGTTTCGCGCCGCTGATTATTTTTTTGTGCAGTTGTGCTCGTTTGTTTTACATTTTTTTCCATGTAAACCGAAAAAAAGGATGCCATTGGAGATTTTTGGATAAGAAGTCTTTTTTCAGGCAAGTAACATATGCGCAAATGTGATTTGATGAAATGTGTCGAGTTTTTCGTTAGAATATGTACTCTAGACTATTTTTTTTGCGGTAAGCTGAAATTCTTTCAAAAAGTGTTTGTTTCAAAGAGTTAGCGCTAGAAATCTGAAAGTCTGATTGAGAACATTGCCGCAATACGAGAGATAGCAAAGAAACACGAAGAATTCGAAAAAAGCTCGTGCAAGCGGTTGGCTGAGGGGCGGCGTCTGCCGCGCTCTGCCGCGGTCAGGCTGCTCCAGTTCGAATTCAAATTCGACCACCACCGACTAGTGGGATGAGGACGACTACAGAGGCCTGTAGGATTTTTTTTGCGAAGATATAAAAAGTTTTCGGTTTTTTGAGCATCCGAAATTTTTTAGATTTTGGCTTCAAACTTGAGGTGAATCAAAGCTAATGCATAAGCATAAAAGCCATCTTATAAAGCTTGCTTTGCTTTATCGAATGGTATCCTGATGTCTATTTAGAATAAGAAGTTTGTGACTTATTACACGAAAACTCAGAAATGAAAAGACTTATGGAACAACCTAACTAATACCAAACCGCTAAAAGAGGCTAAACTTATTTTGTAGCCAACCTAATAATATTTTAGCTCTTCAGCTCTACTTTCACGCCGACAACGTCTTTTCTTTTCAACGAAAAATCTGGCAATACCGTGTTTTCGTAATCTTTTGTCTTCTCTTCAGTTCAAATCTTTTCACGCGCTTTTTTTACTGTCTTGAAAGTGTCTTTTGCAGTGCTTAGTAGGTACACATTCGAAACATATGGATACTAAAAGTTTGGTTGTGAGATGACCCCAACAGTAGAAGCAATCCGCCAATGTCACTCAAATCCTAATTTGGGTTTTTTGGAGTCCTATGACTAGAATGGCGTGGATAAAAAAAACTTTGAACTTAACTTGCAAAAGGTTAAGCAAAGAATTGTCCGTTTAAACAAAAAGTATTATGTAGCAAGCTGAATCGCTTGAGCTTATTAATGGGGACCATACAATTGTAGTGTGAGACTTTTGCGTCTTGAATTTTTATTGTTGTGCTGCTGATGTGTTGTTGTCTCTGCGACACTTACAATTCGAGCATAAATAGTATCTTTTACAATCATGTGTTCTGATCACGTAATATATAGTTATAGTTATAGTAGTATATAGTTTGCGTCTCAGAGGAGTTAATCCTTTTTACTTCATCCTCTTTAAGCCTTTGTTAACATGTACAAGCAGAAAATGTATTTTTCCTCTTCATTCCTTTGTGTAGAATCTGATTAGTTAAAGATTACTGCCAGTGGCGTGGTAAAGCACATGACAGCAAACAGATGCAAATTCGGGTTTTATGGGATAAGCCAGTTATTTGAAACATTAAGATAAGGCACGTTTTAATGAAAGATCGAAAGATAAACTCTTTATGTGACTTCACCATTCCAGTGCATAATAGGAGATTAGTGAAGCTGCATCATCTTATCTTGACTTGCGAATCTTCGAAATGTTTGAGTTTTCCCCATTTATTAGCGTCTCATTTTCAAGCTAGAGAATAGATATTGGATGTGTGAGACGAACGATGTTATTCGCTGAAAAGGGTAATGAGATATCTTCCGTTTTATGTCTGTCTCGATCAGTCCAGTAAGTTCGTGCAAATGCGGAATGTACAGTTTCGGCGGCCGTGCTCAACTGTTGCAGCACTAGTCAATGCTCTCACATAAGCCGGATTGGTAAGACGATTTTTTCCCATAAGCATTGTAACGTAACAAGGACATCGGTTCAAGTATGACCAACTTCTTGTTGGTGGTGTCTTTCAGTTTGCACAATAGCGGACTTAGTGGAATGTTTTGAATCGCGTTGTAATCAGGGGGAGGGAACTTATCTACCCAAAGCGCTTGCCGCAGCGTAGCTATAGAGGTCATAAGTCAGCAACTTTAATTAGCACCTAATCAGCACCGTATTCAGAGCCAATGTGTGCATACAACACCCTTGTCCTCTTTGGGAATACATTAAACTGAATTTCAATGAAATTTCGAATTTCAAGTTCAGTAGCGATATCCGTCGATCAGAGTAAAAATTTGCATTCTTGAGCACACTGTTTTTGAATATGCTGATTGTTTCGCCCAATACTTTGAAATTTATTCCTTTTTTGAGAGAAGAGCTTTTTACGACCTCACCGTAGATTGAAAAATCAGCGTGATGAAATTCTTCGAACAACTACAGTGAAGTAGTAAAGAGCTCTACCTCTCAAAAGGGAAGAAATCTAAAAGTACTGAGCAAAGGCATTAGCATATTTGAAAACAGCGTGCTTGAGAACCGCTTAATGCAAGTTTACTTCAATCGACTTGTATCGCTACTGAACTTTTCGAAATTCCACGGAAATCCAATTTCATGTGTTCCCGATGAGGACGAGGGTGCTGTATGCACACATTGCCTTTGCACGGTGCTGATCAGGCGCTAATCAATGTTGCTGACAGCTCATGACCCCTATAACTACGTTGCGGCAAGTGCTTTGGGTAGATAAGTTTCGTCCCAATCAACACTCCAGCAAAAAAAATCATCAGTTGTAGATCTCGGTAGCACGCGGTTGTTGATTAGTGATTAAGTAGAGAAACAGATTTTTTCTAGATGGTTTTCTGAGTAGTGCTGCCAGCAAAATTTGTTCTTGCAATCGTATGTCTGATTCCTCTCAAAAATTTGTTTTCTTGGCTACTTTCAGGGTCTTGGCATGCCCTTACTTCCAGAAGAGCCCTACTAGTCTGCATAGCTTACTTTCGTACCAGCAGCTTGAGGTGTGTTGTTTCCACATTGAGCTCAAAATTTCTCTTTACCTGCACGACAAGCATTACTACAGACTTGCAACTCGTTTGAAAGCAAACCAAAGCCGTTCACTAAATTTTTACAGGAGACGCTTGAAGTATTTTAGCATGTGAGCGTAAACCCTCATAAGCAATGTCCTTTTACTCGAAAATCAACAGCGCGTTACTCCTCCTTTTCCACCCGTTCAATGGAGGCGGTACTTTGAAGCACTATGGGGTTAAACTAGTGAGATTCAAAGAGAGTCATCATCGCGTTTTTCCGTTTTCGTTTGTGTATTGAATTCAGTGCAAAATTTGAAAATTCCAATTTGTCAAGCAAATTATGGATTGATAAGACATCATGACACAACTAATTTTGCTGGTATTGTTGAGCATTTGCAACCACGTATTGTGGACAGTGTTAGAATTTGTAGCACTTTCGCAGAATCCCTCACTTTTTGTGTGCGATACATTGTAGCTGTTAGATATATTGTTACTAAAGGAATGCTATCGGTTCTGTCAACATCTGCGTAAGACATTTTGTTAATATAAGCGAGTTGTTTCATGATCTCTTAGTGCTAGATGAGAGACATCTTCAGTGTTATGCCTCGCATAATTGCATTCAATCATTTCAGATTAATTTGCTGAAATACCAGAGGTGCGTGAATGATTTATTGAAGCGTTATGGATTTAGTTTTTGCACAACTTGATTTTAGTGCAAATTCCTTTCACGTCGGCCTTCTCCTGAAAGATTCGAAATTGTTCTAAGGCAGAAATCATAAGTTACACACTTGACTGTACGTCGTACAGTCAAGTTACACACTTGACTGTACGTCGTAGGGTGCATGAATAGTGATGAATATAAATTTCTACCTTTAATAGTGCCACAATGCGGCTCGTACTGTCCTCCACGAGGCTCTTGCATGCTCCCTGGAGAATGAATGGAGCCTTTTTCGCACAGAATTCGGTTGCAATCTAAAAGATGGCTTAGTTAGTACAATAGTATTGTTCGAACAGTATGCTTATGTGATACTATAATCATGAAGCGATAAACACAAAAACCTTTCGAGCATCGCCAACTCCTCCTTCAAGCTTTCCTTTCAAATAGCCGACCAGGTCTTGGCACATGCCACATGGGGAGAGGCTGGGGAGGACAGCCTCAGCAAGGACAATTACTGCCAAAAATACTAGCAGAAGTCTCATTTTCTCCAGTTAGTTCGTCTGAAAGAACGCACTATATCAAGTAGGTTATAACGTGACAAAAAATGAGCAAAATTAGACAAAGTATCGATGGTAAACCGCCTTTATATATAGAGAAAAGCTGGTGTTACCACTTATGGGCAGATTAGTTCTGGCTGGTTTTTACGTAATTATGTATGACTGAAGGAAAAGTCAAAACCCATGGGATTATTCAATTTGCTCAAAGCTTTGAATGCTGAATGATAAGACAAAGAGCATTATGTTACAAAGTCCATACACTACGGATTTGCAACTTTGAACGACAATCGTTATATTAGGTCGTTCCGAAAGTAATGTCGCTTTTTTCAAACGTATGCCACATCTCGCGGAACAAAGATATATAAGAAATTCTGGTATCATTTGATGCAGCACTTCATTCACTTTCTAATGGTTATGAAGTTGTTGCAATATTGTCAATGAGCTTCCAGAAAAGAGTCAGAATCTGCGACCTATGCCTTTTGAAATGGCCAAGTTTCACAATTTTTTCAAAATTTTATAACAAACCTTAGAAGGAGTCCAAGTAATGGATGGATGGAGCAAACCCTACAGGAAACAGCACAACTTTTCTCTACTTTCCAGAGCTCTTCATAATTTGTTTACAAATTTTTCGATGGAACCACCGAATTTTAGCAGGCTCGTCTCAGACACAAGTGCATCAAACGCCAACAAGTCTCCGGATTTTGAAACTTACAAAGATGGATTATGGTTTGGCAACAAACTAAACGAGCATTAACGCTTCGGTTTAGCCACTTTCGAAAATTTCGGGTACACCTTGGGGTGCCTTGGAAAAGTTGAATTATGATGCTTTTATCCCTGAAAACTTGATGAATCGGAAACAAAAAACGAACTCTAGAAAGAGGAGAAAAAGCTGCATCGAATGGCACCCAAGTCGCTTGCCAGTTGTTGTTCTGTGAGGTTTGACTTGACTAAATGTGGAGTTTGATGGCATTGAGAAATTGATTGTAGAAACTCTGAGAAGCAAGCTAAGGAAAAGAAAAAATTACTCTGTGTTCTATAGTGTTTGCTCTATCTACCTGCCACTTGTACTTTTTCGGAGATTAGGTGCAAAAATTTAGAAAAATAGCCGAACTTGACCATGGCAAACATGAGACGCAGATTTTGGTAATTTTTCGAAAGCTCATTGAACATTATGCAGTGAGATTAGAATTAATAGAAAGAGGATGAAATGCTGCATTGAATGTTTATAAGATCTTTTGGAAATGTTGATTCCACAAATAGTGGCGTTCATTCGAAGAAAGCGACATTACTTTCGAAACGACCTAATATAATCGAGGAATAAGAGCAGAATTTTAGAGTTATTTCAAAAGGTTATGAATATGTTATGACTCCAAAAGATGTGGAAGTAACGAGTTATCGTTATATCAAATGAATGATTTGTGTACAATATACCGGCTAAGTCCACTATATGAAGCTACGGTAAATTCCGAAAACTTGACACCTTGCCGTACACCTCTCACTCAAGAGCCCCTTAGATTAAATGTAATTTTTAATTGGCATTCCACACTTTCTATAGATTCTATGGAACATTACTTGATAGAATGTTTTAAAGCTGGAGCTTTGAAAGCGTCCCTCCAAATCCCTCTAAATCATGCATGACTTGGTTTGAAATCATTATTTACTCATAACAAAATGATGTCTTTTGTTGATGTTTACTTTGGATTACGCTTTCTATAGCTTTCAAAGAGTGAATACAAAAATACTGAAAAAATTGTGGGCCGCCACAAGCAAGCTCACACCTATTGTATGGGGTCAAGAGAATCCTTTGAAATTAGAACTGTCGAGATTTCTATTTCGGGCTTGATCCACTAACTTCCTTCGTCCGTAACCAATCCATCCCTGATGTAATTTGTAGGCTCGAAATTTTTTTGCCATAATCGGAAAATTGTTCCAAACTTTCCACTCCTAGAAAAGTTATAGTTCGGGTTTTACCGGCTTTAGCATCATCCGACAGAAAATTCGTCGTATTGCACGTACTACCGCAGAAACGGAGCACATACTCCAACCAGCAAGTCACTCCATAGAAATGCTGGTTTTTCTGAGTATGTAAAGTTCAGAGGTGTAGGTGAAGAAGGAGGTTTGTCACGTACAATAACGCTCACAAATGTGCAAAATTCTCATGAATTTCTCAGAATGTCGCGGATTCACGCGAATCACGCAAACTACTCAGCCATAACTTCCTTCAGAATGAATATATTTTAAATCCGGAAGCAGCTTAGTTCGTTAAGCCAAATCCTTTCGTTGAGTCTGTACTCGATATTCCATTTCCAATTTTCTCTAATCTTTATGCGGAGATCATTTCGCAAAGGTGTAAAGCAGCGCACATTGCCTCGAAAGATTCCAGCAAGGACCTTTTGATAGAAATTCCTTTGTAGAACAAGAGGGCTAGAAAGTAGCCGCATATTTTTTTTTCAAAAGAAATAGAAGGGCTGGTGAAATCTGGAGAAATTCATGTCGTTCCAAATTTTCCTTCGTTTACTATAAAGCATTCCTGCTAAGCAGATGTGATTCGTAACGGCAAGTGGGATGATCTGTTAAGTTTTCCGAGATGTTTGATTATTGCATCTTTTCTCGATTTACGCTCTGAAGCTCGCGGGTGGATTTTGATTGAAAATGTTGATGATTTTGGATTGAAAGGATACTTTATTCCTCATAGTTTTAAACGAGCTGTTTATAAAACCTGTGGTCTCTATGGAGTACAGCTTTTTTTTCAGAGATGGTGAGGTGGCTGTAAGTGAGTCACGAAAGTTGGTAATTTTGCCTGCACTTCTCGCGCATCTTTTAGAAAACTTGACCGCTTGCTTTCACAGGTTAAAGTTACTAGGACTGTGCCTTCGGATGGTATCTTAGACCTTAGTCTATGGAAATCGCCGAGTTACGAACCTACGAAAACAAGTCCTCACGAATTTTGCCCATATGTAAAGATTGCATACTTGTCGAAATTCCACCGTGCTTGGTTGTATAACACGCTGATCAGTTCTGCTTTCACATCGCTTAATGAATCCATATTGGATTTGATAGTTAGATAGCTCTGACTTCAACCACAAAACTGCTTTGATATACAATCGAGCACTGAAGCACACGCAACAACAATTTCCAATACAATGGGATCCCTCGGGCGAAGGGAGCATAATATTTGCAATCAAAATGTCATACAATCACTTACGGTGGAAACTCGATGAAGTACGTGATATTTACACTTTGGGCGGAATTTATGAGGACGTGTCTTTGCAGGCGCGTAACTTGGCGATATCTATAGACTGGAGCCTAAGACATGCACCATTCGAAGGCACAATCCTAGTAACTTTAACATATAAAAGCAAGCGGTCAAGTTTTCTGACGGATACGCGAGAAGTGCAGGCGGAGTCACGAACTTTCCTGATTTAGTTACAGTTACCTCACGATAACTCTGCAAAAAGACCCTGTATTTCCCTACCACGATTTCCGTGAACAGCGTGTCTGAAAACCTTCATAAGCAAAGTTTCCTCACAGTCCAAAATCATCAACATTTTGACTAAAATCCATCGGCGAGGCTGCAGGGCGTAAAACGAGAAAAAAGAAAATCACTCGAACATCTCGAAGAATTTGCTTGTAGGGGATTTCCGATCTGATTGCGAACATCACATCTACTCAGCAAGAGAGCTTCATATTTCAGTTTTATGGCGAGTAAAATTTATAACAAGTGATTTTTTTCCTTTGGAAAAAGTCTGTGGCTACTTTTTGGCGCTCCATAATTTATAGAAAAAGTACTAGCGAAATGTCTTTGCTAGAATATACTAGGGACAGCTGCTTTACAGTTTGCGAAAAGGCGTCCACAGAATATTGCAGAATACTGAAACCGGTGTTGCATACGAAAGATTTATCCTATGAGCTGAGCACAACGTTTTTTTTATTCATATTATATTTTTTCCGAAGGAATTTACGGCGAAAGAATCTGTCCTGTATTCATCAACGAACCCAGTGGGTTCCGTGGTTTGCGAACCCACTGGGTAAGGTTGGTATTCACAAGTGCCCAGCCCGCTGGGTTTGCCAACCCAAGACGTCACCGATGTGCCTCCTCTAGTCGGTGTACTATTTTCCTTACTTTCCCACGCACAGGGGTCGCGCTAAACTAGAAGCTTCAGCATGCTTGACACGCTTTCGGAAACTGTGGGAATGTTGAATGGATGACATGAATCAATGTCTCTTGTGCGACAAAACTGCAATTCCCTATTCTGTATTTTACTCGAGTAGTTTTTCGGATCCCGACATGACAATCGACAATGATATGTGTGGGAGCTTTCCTTTCGGAGACATATAGTTCTCTACTCGCGCAATTGTCATTTTCAAAGATTAAGCGTACGAGAACACCATCCGCAGAATGTCTCAGATATAGACCAAAACCCAGTGGTATTTATTGCTGGTGAACGATAGCGTTTTTAGTGTTCATGGCTACCGAACAGAAGTCACACCGAGCGCGGAGGTGCTCGCCAGGCGCAAATTTTGTGTCTCTTAAAACTCTTCGCAGCTAAAGTGGCACGGCGTCACGTGGGGGGGGGGGGGGCAAATACATAACATGATGTCATAAGTAGCACTGCGACAGGGGTACTGATGGGAGCTGAGTCTTGTACTAATTAATGTCGCGTCGCGGCGACGCCTCCCGAAAAATCACGACTCCTCATCCGTCCCACTGTTCTTATCTCCAGGTGATATCTTCACACAAGTCGAAAAAATGGAAAGATTACTTCTTGCTTAGCCTCGTGACATTTCTTTTGCTCGCGGTATCATTAGGAAGAAAAGTTCGCTTTGTCGAAGTGGCGATTCGGAAAACAATGTATACCAACGGATAGAGCTCTGAACGCTAATGCCAGATACCTTCCATTTTGCGATGAGCTCTTCTGGAAAAAAGTCGTTAGCTTTTCTTATTTATTTCCAAATTTTCGTGCATTTTTAGTCGTAAACCTCACGATACAGGGTGCGTCACTGGGACCTAGTACCTTTTCGTACGAAATGAGAAGGGATGTACCTAGAAATGAAA